AAAGCTTAATATGATCTACCAATAATTTAAAATATCACTAATTTAACGGTTAATCAATCATAATAGTAGACTAGTAGCTAGCATAACCATCACGATATATAAAACTGATAAAATAAACTAAATCAATGTAAATTACATATTAAAACGAGTAGAACAAATGCAATAAGCAAAAATATCAAATGGTGATTCAGAAATAGTATCAAAAATAGCAAACTAAAACTAACTTCAAAAATTATTTTGAGTGAATACCTAACAAAATAATTTTGGGTTGGAAAGGCGTATGTGCTACTAGCTCATATGAGTAGAGGTGGTCGAATACTATTGTCACGGTTTTGCCGCTCTTATGCATGATTTTTACAACATATTTTTTGTCGGCAATTGTATAGCATTAAAAGCCCAAAAATATCATAGACGTATGGTTGACAAATAAATTGTACGGATATTCCAACTTGATATATATCACCAAGTGATTTGTCTGGATAACATAAGGTGTAAGTATGTGAATAGTAACACGACAAAAGAAGAATGTGAATAGTAATCTTTGACCATTTCAAAATCTTTGACATATATATTGTCAACCATATTATCTATCCATTATGATGTATATACATGGATTAAAAGCTTATACGTTTCAAAAAAAAAAAGAGCTTATACGTACTTTATAAATTATGTTTTAAGTCATTGAGTTCATACTATTTTACTTGCTATCATACTTACTTTCAGCCTTCTTTATTTGTCGATAATATTACACAAAAGTATCTTATCACCTTCGAAAACCTACGTGTTTTATTATTTTATTGATATTCATAAGCTAATACATGCTTAACCAAATAGTGGTGGACTATTGATTTCTATTTTGGATAGAGTTGTTCGATGGGTTTATGATAAAATCCAATTTCTTTTAAACACAACATTATCTAATAATTCTCGTTTAGCTATTAAAAATGCCACGTTTTAAATTTATTAAAAATGTAGTGAATAAACTATTTGACGGCTACACGTACACTAAAAAGATCAGTCGGATATAGTCAAAACTGAAAATCATCCCCTGATCTAAAAAAATTATTACATTAGTGCATATCAATATTAAGGACGACTTTCTTGTTTATTCTTCTTACCTCGCGACTATTGGCATTAACCACAATAGGCTCCAATTCTTCATCTTCATTCGGTTGCTTTTCTTCGTCCAATTCTTATTTTCGTCAGCCATTCTGACAAAATCATAAACAAAATCAGTTTTTGGCCAAAAATTAAAAAAACCGTAGACGATTCTTCTTACCTCGTGACCATTGGCATTAACCACAATAGGCTCCAATTCTTCATTTTCGTCCGCTTTTTCTTCTTCGTCCAATTTTTCATTTTCGTCATAGCCATTATGACAAAATTAATTATAAACAAATCAGTTCTTGGCC